AACGAATCGCGACCACATCCGGTTGAGACTCGTCCGCTCCTGGTATCAAAATTGGCTTCCCCGGTGGCGCCGGAAGTCCTGTAGCCGAATCAAATGCTTCACTTTTTTTTGGATATTTATTTTTCTTTTGTCGCGATTCGTTTGGATACTGGAATGGCGAAAATGACAGAGGTATCTCGTGTTTCTTTATTTTATTTGTTGAGAGAACGAAATGTATAATTGTGCAGAATGGAATTTTGTAATTTTGTATGTTTAATTGTTGAATTATTTTTAAACGATTTCGTAATATATTTTCTTTGTTTTAATAAATAAAATATTTATAGATATAATTATTCCCTCTATATTTTCTTTAGATCAATCAAGAATTTGAAATGAGATATTTTAAAATCCACTTTTCTTCATACTTCTCGAAAGATTCGGAAAAGAATCCAAGACATCCAGTTTTAGACTACTGTTTATTTAATTTCGAACATACCACAGCTCCGTATGGGTAACGGACAAACATCTCGAACCATTTTCTCACCGATTATTTCACTCAACAACTTTTAATTTTTTACTTTCGATATACTTTTTAATATGTTTAAAGATCGAAGGCGATATGTTCTATTTTAAAAAGACGATGATTCGAGAAATGGCGTGAAATGGGGTTAACTGGTTAATAAGTTCACAGAAAGTTAGCACGTGCCAGGGCGATGCTCACACGCGAAATACACGGTAGCACGCAGGTGGCGATCCCAAAATAAAATTTGAAACTCTTTGGCAATCCTAGGGCGGCTGCCTCGCTGTTCTGAGGGCAGTATGAGAATTCGATATCAGACACCGGCCCGACATGTCTTCGTCACTCTTCTACAACGTGTCTATCGTTTTTGAATCGATTCTCTGATTCCTATCTAAAAGTTGTGCCAATTGATCACGTATCGAACATGTGAATTGAACAGAAGGAAAAATTATTTACATTGATATTATTTTACAAAGAAATTTATTGGAAATTAATTAGAAAATTATGATTTTAACGAATGTTTGTGGAGCATAGAGAATGAAGTCAACCAAAATTGTAAGATTTTTTGTTATGAATACGCAATTTTGCCTGGAAATTTTTTTTTTAAATGTTTCGTAACACTTAAAATTTTGGTTTATAGTGTAAAATTATTATATTTTTAAAAAAATGAAAACTTTTAGTATTGATTTCAAGATATTTCAATAAAAAGAAAATTGTTTATGACATGTAATCCATTATGTTCTTCATATTGTACAAAGTTTCATTAAAAAGTTAAAATGTAATTAAAAAATAGGAAAGTGTTCAAATAAATAAATAAATATCTTCATAAATATCTTCAATCTAATAATGAGAAATTAATAGTAACAATAGTGTTAACGTATAATTATCTTACAGGTCTAAAATCTAGAATCCAACATTCTTTCGAATATTTTTAATCGTTCTAAAAATAAAAATATGATATCTTCAAGAGAAGAACTCTCGTGAAAGAAGGATTGTTTTCAATTTTTGTATCAAAACCAAATAAAAATACTTGCAATTAGATATACAAATCTATTCTAATAATATTCCCTTCATTTGAACCATCAAACTTACATTTGACAAAAAGAGATATCGACGAGATATAAACGAATTAATAGTTAAAGTTACATCGAATCCACCATAGTAAAATAGAATAGAAATATAATAGAAGAATATTTTTAATCCGAACAAAACTTCACAAACGCCACAACGTTTTCCATCGTTCAACCGACCGACCAACCAATCGTCTATTAAAATAAACGCCCCCAACGCCGAGGAAGTTAATTTTGGATTACCGGTTGATTTGATAGTAAATAAATCCACGATCTCCTCGAATAAACCATAGAACCATCTTCCACTGACAGAAATACAGTCCCTCATTGACTGTACCACGAAAATTTCCAACGTGATCGTTCCAATCCCAATTTCCCGATTTGATAACTCGATAATTGTTCATCCCCCTCCTCTCCCCTCAACACCATCCATCTCCACTAAAGAGAAAAACGAAAATCCCCCACTGACCCAATGAACTTGCCCAATTCCCCGTCCATTAACGATCACTCAAACGTTGCGCGGGCTTGATAGATATGTTGTCGGCAGAAGCAGCCTAATTTTAGATATCATCCCACTATCGAGGCAAGCCAATCAAGAGACAGAAGGCACAGAAAGAGGCATCTACATCATTCTATACCGGAAACTCTGTGTCACCAGAGACGCGCCCTACGATCGTCACGTCTCACCTACACCCCTTCGTTCCTACACGGCACGAGCTGAACCACGAGTTTCGTCCTCTCTCTAAAGATCAAATCAAAATAACGATATATCCTCTTCTTTCGAGGGAAAAAAATATTCGAGGCGAAACAAATATATATACATATATATACAGTTATTCGCGCGAAACTGAAACCGAAACTTTGACGAGTGGAATCGAAGCCTCGATCAAGATGGCGATCGACAGCCCGTCCCGGATGACGCATCGAATCCCTGATCATCCCTCGGGATCGAGACTCGTCGGACTCGACGCGTAACGAGCAGAAACGAAAATCAGTGTATGTGTGTTGCATTATGTGTGTATGTGCGTGTGTGTCTCTCTACCTGATCCCTCCCAACGTGGCCTCCTGGTGGCGGTCAGAGGCTGGCTCTTCGAGTAGTGGCTCTTCGTGGTGGCGTTGCCCATGATCGTTCCTCCTCTTCCTCTTCCACGTCGAGCCTCGCTCGACGATCACTCCGTTGCTGGCCACCTTTTCCACCGTTCCACGATCATCGAGCTTCGAAATATCCTCATCGATCACCGGATCTTATGGATCGATTTAGGAGGAAAGCCTCGAGGTGTATCCACGGCGAACTGTCTTCGACGATGGCTGAACCGAAGTCGAAACAGAGAAAGAGGGAGAGAGAGAGAGAGAGAGAGAAAGAGAGAGATAAATAAGGGGAGAGAGAAAGAGAGAGAGAAAGAGCGTGTTCGGCTCGATATAGCACGAGGCTCGGTGCAGTACTGGCGGACCTCTTCGTGGCCGACGACCGTGGCGACGCCAGCCTCTTTGGGCTTCCTCTTGTCGAGCTATCTTTGTCTCTCGCTCGCTTCGTCCCGCCTCGAACGGGCGCGCTTCCTAAATTTCACGAAATACACGTAGACGTGTGAAGGGGACGGTGTCTGTCCGCCCGTCTGTCGTTGATTTTGCGCCCGGGATGATTGAAATTTAACTTTGTTTTCATTGTTGTTGTTTGGGGTTATGTAAGTGATTTGGGAAGATGGCGGTCGGAATGGACCGTTGCTGACACCTCCTGCGGAATGAGAGAGTTAAAGAGGAAACGAATTTTGTCTGAAGATCGTAGTATTATTGTTGTGTGAATAAATTTCTTATTGCGTATACGTTGCAAAGCACAGTTTATTTGTTTTTGAGAGAATGAAAAGTTTATTTATCAAATCGAGTGGCGAGAATGAAGATTACAATTCGTTTCGAATTCATATTCTATTAGATTTGGAAATTAATCACCAAATGCATCATCTGATTAGAGGAGCATACGTGGGAAAGGATTTATTCAAAGAATAAATCGCTGGTTAATATCAATGGTGGCATAAAAAAAAGTGTAGAATTAATTTAGATATAATTAATGAGATATTTCAAATTGGTGTGTGTCAAATAAATTTTCAATGATGTGGCGTATCGAAATATTTCCATAAATCCAACGAACGATCCAACCGGATGTAGCAGGTCCTCGAATTTCCGGTGTAAAGACGAACGCGATCGTGATGTCATCACCGTCAGATATTTCTTCTCCCAACTGTTTGATCTCTTTGTCTCTCTCGTTTTCTCCGATACTCCCACTGGAATGTATCATATGCTTATATTTACGAAGGCACACCTTGCTTTTCACGGTATTTGGTCAACGCCGGTCACCGACCTTGCAGCTCGCGCGAGCCATCAAACAGATATGATACTTTTGCATTATGCATTAATTGCTAAACGATTTCAAATCAAGGAACAATGCGAGAATATATTCATTCCTTTTCCGTTCATAATTTTAATTATCTCGCAAAGTAACACACGAGATTATATAATTATTTCTATCATTTTTTCTACCATTTTTATCTTCTGCTTAAAATGAATCGTAATTTCAATCATTGTGCGATGTAAAATAGCATTATCGTTATTTAAAAGATTATTTTTAATTACTTCCTTTTTCTGAAACATGAAATTCTGATTATTCTTTTTTTTCTTTATGTTCTCCTTTTACAATTAGTTATAACTTTAATCATTCTGTAATGTAATATTCGCACTATCGTCGTTTAAAAGGAACAATCTTTAATTATTTTCTTTTGAAATATAAAATTCCGAATATTTTTATATTTTTTTCATTTCTTCTTTAGTCATTTCATTTCGATTATTATGTTATGTAAAATATAATTGTTATTTAATAATTGATCTTTTCTTTCTTTCTTTAGATATTTTCAAAATTTATTGGATTGATTTATAATTGATTTTTATTAAAAAATTTGAGAAAATATTTAAGAAGAAGAAAGGTTAAAATTGATGTATAGGAATATCGATATATTACGATATATAGTTAAGTATCGATGTACATGCTTCTCTCTATAATGTCGAAAGAATTTGAGGTTTCGTACTGGATATGGGAATAAGCCTTGATCGTCCTTCGTGGTCATCTTGTATGCCTCGAAGTAGGTATCGAGAGGCCATGTGGTATCTCGTACCTATAAACAAAGATGATATAAAATAAAACAAAATTAATTTCTTCAAGTTAAAAAATCGTTGAAATCAATATTAAAGAAAATTGATTTGTCCTTGTGCTCAATTCACAAATTGATAAAATTTCAATCAGGCGTGACTTGAATATACTCGTTTTATTAAAGATCACGATTATTTTAATTTTATGATAAATCACAATTTTTCTTCTTGTCACAATAATTATAACTCGAAAATTAATTTATTTTTATTTGATTTTTTGATTACTATTTTAATCATATAATATATTTAATTAATAAGTAATAAGATATTGATTTATTTCTCTAATTGATTTAACTATTTAATTAATATTTTTACGGATGTAATAATTAATTATTAATAAATAGTAAATGTTGATTTATTTTGTTTTCTGATTTTAAATTTCATTAAATACACAATAGATTTGGAGATTTTGTCTGGAAGTGGAAATATTTTAGTAACGTGACCTTAGTAGGAGAGGTTAATCGCGTCTATAAATCACGCTGCGAAGAAATATTCTTCTCCACGACTGTGAGAAACATATCGTCACTTGGATAGTGGTGATTTCATCGCTTACGATCTTCTCTTTTTGCGAACGTCATGGTCTCCATCTTCCTTTGACTTCTCGAGTTTCGATAGAGAAGGAAGTAGACAAAATTTTTAGAAATTTATAATTTCAATTGTAATAACGATTAAAATGAATATAAAATAATTTGTCATTTAATGTTTTTACGGATATAAAATTTAGAAAGGGAAAATGTTGTAAGAGATACAAGTTTTGTTACAAAAATAAAATTCAGGCTTTCAATAAAAAAAAATTATGTGGAATTCGCGACAATCTTTGATTTTATCAATATTTAAATTTGGTATAATTTTTAAATAATATTCAATTTTTAATTCTTAATTTCAAGTACATATCGATAGATTATGCAAATATTGTATTAATTCAGGAACGTAAAATAAACCAAAATATTATTCTTTATATATTTATAAAGAAAAAATGGGATTTTTATACGAAAATAAAGAAAAATCAAATCAACTTTTTGTTGCGTATAAAAACTCAAATTTCAATAAAAAAAATGGACATAAATTATTCGTATAATAAGCCATCAATATGATTGCTATGTTGAAATGAATTTTTAATGTTTTTTTTTCTAAAGTTATAAAATATTCAAATTTTAGTATTCCATCTTTTTCTCATAATAAATATTTTCAAACTTGTATATTCAAAACACGAAGAGATTAAAATTCTCTTTGAAAAAAAAAAAGATTGCTTCTTGTACAATCCATTATATTCAAATAATTCAGCGAAATATTCCACTAAACCATTAAACCAAATCAAATAAATGAAAACATCTCCAAATCTCGGTCATTTCAGAACTTTTCCAAGCTATACATCTAATTTAAAATCTGATCGTATAACCAATAAAACTGACAAAGAACTAGTCATTATTTCCTCTTCCAACTAGTATTCTATCATTTTCTCGTAAAAATACCGAATGCTTTCACTCCTTTAAAAAAATTTTGATAAAGATCGTTCCATTATATCATACACACACACACATATTCTAATATCAAACCAAATCAAACAAAAACCTCTCAGTTCCTCAAAGAAACTTCTTTTCTAAAAAAAATAAAATAGAAAAAATATAACACTTGGAATACCACATTCGCGAATACCACAGCGTCAAACCAAATCAAACGAAACCAACCAAACCTCCAAACCACGTTCAACCTTCAGAAATTCCCTACCGTCCACTCCCATTCAACCACACGCCTAATTCCGAAACCCGATCCCGTGCGTCCAATAAAATTTACAAAGGATTAGCCATTTTTTCCTGTTTCACCGGGCATTTTCGCGGCCCGCTCCACGCTCCGTGGAATACAAAAGAGGACGAGGCGCGCGGAGAAAGAGGTCGTCGAGGCGGGAAAAAGAGACGGAAGAGCACGAGGAAGAGAAAGGAGAAGGGGAAGACGGTTAATCGGTGCCAGAGTACCGTTGTACCTGAATGGAGCAGCGAGATGGCTTTCGGTTTCCCTGCAGCCTCCGTCGCAGCTGCAGCTCCGCTCTCTTCGACCAGCGACTTCAACCGGAACACGTGACTGCCGCGCGTGTTCATACACGCGAAAGCGCGCCACAGTTTTTCCACTCCCCGAATCGGGCGAAGGAATCGCATTTCCGCCTCCGTTTTTCGATCGAGGGTTGGCAACCACGTGCACCTGCACCAACCGGGGACAACAGCTGCTGCCGCGTTTGTGGCCGACTCGTCACTTGCCTTGTAAAGACCTTGTCCGTAAGTCACGACCGTGCATCGCCGTCTATCTTGGTCGAAAATTGGAAATATTCGTTCCTATGTGGCATTCAGCATCAGGCGTTTGAAGGCGTTTCTCCAAGTTCGAAGGATGGATGAAATAATCTCGAGGTGTTTGTGAGTGAGTTTTTGAATTTTGAAAGGTGAAGGATAAAAGTGGGTGCGAGGACAAAAGTGAAGGACTTGTGGATCGCGGTTTCGTAAGGTGATACGACGTGGCCGGTTTTGAAATGGTTTCGAGACAAACGTTTGTCGTTTCTCACCGGCAATCGGTGCTTTGATACCCGCGCTTTTATCGTTCAACTTCGTCACCGCATATTTCAGACTCGATTTCAATCTATTTTCTTACTTCCTTTTCTTTCTTCTTCTTTTTTTTTTTTCAATTGAAGATTCGATAAACTGTTAATAATGTAAGTCTGGAGGATCTGTTGGTCAAGGTTTTGGAGGGAAGGAGAACCACGAGCCACGTTCCAACTTTCACTGTGCTCTATGCTTCTTCGAGCATGCAAATTACTCGAGACGCACTATTCGAAACGCACTATTAATCCGAGGGAGGAGGGGAGGGTGGAGGAGGGGGAGCAACAAAATGTCTCCCCGACAGGCGAGATAAATCAGGATCGTGTTACTGTGAATGTGCCGCGGTATGCAAAACCACGAGGTGCTGCCTTTTTTTTTTTTTTTTTTTTTTTTTTTTTTTTTTTTTTTCTTTTTTTTTACGCAGTCAACGAACCTGATCGCGCGTAACACAATTCCGCCGATCGTTTGTGAAATCGATCGTTCACCCGGCCGATACATCTCGCGTTACGTGCTACACGATGCTCTACTTTCCATAAATCACGAGAATCCTTGATACACAATTGTTACACTCGTGCGCAAGTTTATCTTCAAAAAGAAAAAGAGAAAAAAGTATTCGTCTCGTTCGATTCGATCGATTATTTTCGAAGTATCTTCTGTGTTTGAACGCAAATTAATGGAATTTAATTATGGAATTAATAATAAATAATGGAATTAATTTGGACGATATATTTTTGAAATAGAGGGATGCAAACATATGATGCAACAAAAAGGATATACATTGGACGATGATTAGTTTTCACGAATTAAAAAGATATCCTTGATGTCAGTTTTATTTTAATATTTTTGAGCCTAATCGTTGGAACGAGATATTATTTCCTCGATGTAAATTTAATTAATCGAAAATTGAACGATGAAGTAAGAGATTCAGCCATGCCCACGAAGAATCTGGAGGTAGTGGATATTTTAGAAGCCCTCGAATCGAAGCTCGCGTACATTCCAGGAGGACGTGACAGGGAAGGAAGACCTTTGATGGTGGTCAATGTTCCCTCAGAACTTCAACCGACCACGAAACCAAGGTTGGAAGTATTGATCGCCTATTTTTTGTCCATTTTTAGGTAACTATATTTTTTTTTTTTTTTGGAGTTGATATGAATATTTATCAGTTTATTATAATGTATCAAGTCTAAAAGTCTTAATCTAATGTCTTTACATTAAATCTTTATATAAGTTTGATTTATAAAATTTTGCAATATTTGCATTTTTTTGTAAAATACGAATGGAATAGTTATGATTTATTCTAATGGTGTATCGCTATCAGCATCGATTGATAAAAAAGTAATAAACTTGAGACCAAAAGATTATTTTTCACTTTGCAAAGAGATACAAAATATTTTATTTATTCCATGAAATCAAAAAAAAATCCATTACTTTAACCTAACTTTATTCTCATCCATTAAATCAATCCATTCGACATCATTTGATATTCAAATATCGTATTGAATTCGAATGTTAAAAGAACAAAACTCGTATGATTTCTTTTTACATAAATAATGAAACAGTCACACAGAAATTAACTTCTGACCTAACACATATCGATACATTTATTACGATTCTAATATAAAAAATAATTGATACGTGTAACGATTAATTAAAATCAAATTTAAATATTTACTGTCAGATGACGTTCTGCATAATTGGAATGCAAATGACTTGTGTTTTCATGGTATAGCGAGGAGACGAAGAAGAATGGATTGGTCTTGATAGTGGACGCGAGAAAGGGTGCATGGAGGGTGGCAAGATCTTGCATCAGGTTGTCTACTGTACTTCTGGGAGCTTCTGCGGCATCCGTCATCGTGGTGCGCCCTGATGGCTTCTGGGACAAGAGGGTGGACAGTTGCACGAAATCGCACAAGGAAGGAGAGGTTCGTTATCTACAAAAATAGAATAAGAATATAAATGGAATTACATCGAAATTTTACAATATTATTTATTTTTATTTTCAAAGTCGAATCTCTAAAACTATTTTACGAATATACTAAATTTTATATATATATTTATCATATCATTAGACAATTTGTAATTGATAAAATTATTTTTCGGAATTTTTGATTTTTATTATTCAATTTATCGATAAATTTTGTAGTTTGTAAGTGAAGTTTATTTCAATCTTTAATATATATATATTAAATATTTTTCGATGAAAAATTCAATTCAAGTGCTCAAGTTACTTTTGAGATAACTAAGCTAGTGGTTCTTGATTGGTATTCCTTGGAACATTAGCATTCCGCGAACTTGTCACAATACTAGAGTAAACGTAACTTGTTACAAGTGTTCCACGAAATTACGAAAGCGGCGTATTAGCTAGGATATTACTACGATTCTTACCAAAAGGAATATTCGTGCATATTTCTCATACATATTTTCATTCATAATTTTACGATCGGATTATGATTTTCGATGCATTATCGAAACGTATCCTTATTTATTTCCATTACATAACACTTGAATTACAATTATTTTACGCATAATTTACACTCAAATATATTCTTAAATTATCATACGAATATATATATAAATTAGCATAAGAAGAAAAAAATATCTGATCCATTCATGGTTGTTCAAATAATATATGCAAAACAGAAAAAGAAAACATATTTCCATAAATCACGTAAATCACGTAATCCGCATAAAAAACATCCAGAATCCATTTACGATCCATTTACCTGATGTTCGCATAAATTTCTTCGTAATCCAAAATGTTGAGAAGCCACTATCATAAATCGTGCCACGAGAAATCGCACGACATTACACGCGTATTATCTGAATCGAGATATGAAGTTACCATTCAAACACCATCACCGATGAAATGGAACGTTTCTAATTTTATTTACATAATTTTTCTATCGAATCGTATATACATCCATCTAGGATAAACTAGTTTTCTCTTCTTTTAACCATAGTTCTCTGCCATTTAATCAATTCTCGACAAGAGTCGCTTGACCGATTCGAGGCACGTGTTCACGCTCGATTATCGCGTGAAATATTCACGCTTACTTGTCAAAATCGTTCCGTGTGACGAAAATGTACATATATTCGCGATGGGTTTAATTGCAAGCATGCTCGTGAACATATATATATATACATATACGTGACGTGAATTAATTAGTTGTTGTTTCAGCCGACGTACCTCACCCTGACGAGGCTCCAGCTCCACGTCGACTTTGCACAGCTGCCGTACGAGCTGGGTGGCAACAAACTTTACGATCACGTGGATTGGATCCAGAAGCGCGTGGTAATCTTCTCATCGATTTATAATTCACGCTCAAACGAACCATTGTATCGGGAATAATCGTTTCCATGTGGAAAGTTTATGGGGGATTCGGTGTGTAAACTCATGATGGTTTATTTGTTACAATTTTTTTTTAGAAGATCTATCGATTATAGTTGTATATCAAGTATTAAGTGTATACTGTAGTAAAAGATATATATAATAAGGATGATATTAGTAGTATTAATTATTAAAAATTATTAGATGAATAATTGTAATGTAATAAGTAATGTAATAGCAATAATAATATTATGAAATGAAAGTATGTAAGTCTAGTAGAATATTTGATTTGGAGGATGTAGGAATGGATATAGATTTTCTGTGATAGAAATTGGTTACATAGCTCATTTATTTTCCTTTCTATGAGATGTAAGATAATATAGCAATAATTATATTATGAAATGAAAGTATGCAAGTCTAGTAGAATATTTGATTTGGGGGATGTAGGAATGGATATAGATTTTCTGTGATAAAAATTGATTACATAGCTCATTTATTTTTCTTCTTATGAGATGTAAGATAATATAGCAATAATAATATTATGAAATGAAAGTATGTAAATCTAGTAGAATATTAAATTTAGAATATTTGATTTGGGGGATGAATGAGGTAGAAATAGATATAGATTTTTTGTGATAGAAATTGGTTACATAGCTCATTTATTTTCCTTTTTATGAGATGTAAGATAATATAGCAATAATAATATTATGAAATGAAAGTATGTAAATCTAGTAGAATATTAAATTTAGAATATTTGATTTGGGGGATGAATGAGGTAGAAATAGATATAGATTTTTTGTGATAGAAATTGGTTACATAGCTCATTTATTTTCCTTTTTATGAGATGTAAGATAATATAGCAATAATAATATTATGAAATGAAAGTATGTAAATCTAGTAGAATATTAAATTTAGAATATTTGATTTGGGGGATGAATGGAGTAGAAATGGATATAGATTTTCTGTAATAGAAATTGATTACATAGCTCATTTATTTTCCTTTCTATGAGATGTAAGATAATATAGCAATTATGATATTATGAAATGAAAATATGTAAGTCTAGTAGAATATTAAATTTTATTATAGTTTGATGTAGTTTAGCCGAATATGATTATAGAAATTGGTTATGGTTTAATTAATTAATTAATCGGTATACAATTACTTTTTGCAACTATTGTATTAATAAGTTTCTTGTGAAGAAACGGAAGTTCTATATCGCTTTCACTATTTTCCTTTTCTATCACACGTTTTCTTATGCCGATTTCACAGAAAGTGGAGGATTATACCAAGGATGCATCCGATCTCATCACTAAAATGGCAGATCTAC